AAAAAAAAAAAAAAAAAAAAAAAAAAAAAAAAAAAAAAAAAAAAAAAAAAAAAGAAAATGATTAATTATGAAAGAAAAGAGCAAAGAAGGAAAATAAAATAATGTCGTTAACAAAATGTTGATGAACATGATGAAACTCCCATTTCATGCCACAGAATTAAACAAATATTGAGAAAAGTTACACTCTTCTGGATAATAAAAGAAAAAAAAGGTTTTGCCTTTGGGAAATATTTATCTTTGGAAGGTCAGAATGCTTCAGATCTTTCACTTAACTTATATATATATTTACTTATTTATTTTAAAGCATGTTTTGATTTAGAATTTTAGAGCTTTGAATACATCAGATTCTTATTTAAACCCTAACACTAAAATACATCTGCCTGGTTTACCATCATTATGTCTTGTCTAATTAATATTTACTGAGCAACACTGGTGTAGATATCTTTGTATAGAAACTAAATCCTGCCAAGTTTCCTGTGTGCATTTACAACATGCTATATGTATTCTATACATAAAAAATGCCACAGAAGCATGGCTTTCATGAAATCTTATCTAAGAGTTTCTATTAAAAAAAAATGTGGTTGAATAACATTAACTGGATTTAAACAAAAACTTTGCAGTGTTTTTATGGCTAGATTTGTTGAAAAGTATATCATAGACTTTTACAAAGTAAAATAATTGTGAATGGTTAATAAATCAATAATCCTGGAAAATACAATTTTTAAATTATACTTTTAGATTATACTTTTAAATTATATTTTAAGTAATTTATATAGTGTGTCTTTTATATAACTATGTTGTATTATCATTTTTCTTATAGGGAACAAATGGCCAATGAAATGTCAGAATTTTTGAGTAGGTTAGTGCAGTGTAATTGAGGAAATAAATGTTCACCTCAAAATCATTTTTTAAATTACTTTTGATTATTTGGACTAGAACCTGTTATATGAATAACCCACTCTTTCCATGTAAGTTTTCTGTACAAGAAATGTCACTTCCCCCTCACCTTACCGCAGCAGAGAAAAAAATGAAAGCAGTGTTCCTCTGAATTGGTGTTTCTCCATGGGGATACCATCGGCATTTTGGATGGGACAATTCCTTGTTGGTGATACTGTTCTGCTCATCACTGGCCCTCACCAACTCAGCCTCAGTAGGGGAATCCTGCCCCTTATCATGACAAAAATCAATATTTTGCATTTCCCCCTGGGGTTATGCTACCCCTAGTTTGGGAACCACTGTGCCCAGTTGGAGGGGAAGTAGAGGAAGAACATGGCTCCTGAGGGGCTCTGCACCATAGCACCCGGTTTAAAAACCACTGATGTAAATTGAGCCATCAAGGAATATAACTTCCTGGCAGGATCTGGTCCATTATCTTTGTAAATGGATATGAATCAGTAACATTTTAATTGTCAATTTTGAAGTTTAAAGTTAACTAAAACTGTTAGATTAATATATTTTTAAAATCAAGTTAGTTTTGCTACTACCTTACTGTATTGCTTATGTGATTGTCTTTATAACAAGTTTAAATAATCAATAAATTACACCTTTATCTTACTATTTTAACTCCAGAGATTAGGGGAGGGGCATTTAATTGCATTCATGTACTGCTTCTGATGCCAAATCTGCTTTTTAGCAGGTAGAGTTTTGTTTGTCATAATATCAGTGAAAGTTAGTAATATTAAAACCATATTTTAAAGAAATAATTTAAGTTTAATGTTGTTATTTTTTAGTGTCAAAACACACCATATATATTTTAATGCCTTATGTATATTCTGACGATCTATAAAACTGTACATTATGGAAATTCTCTTTAAAAAGCAACAACACCCATAATAATTTTCAGCTGCCCACTTAGAAGAGACTCTTGGAAGAGTTAGGAAAAAAAGAGAACTTTTTTTGTTAGTTTATTGAATGGTGGTTTGCGGATGTAGAAAATAAGAGTATTAGAGTAAATGTTAAAGCATAATTTATTGTTAAGGGTAATAGACCTTTGCTGACACACAGTGGCTCTTTTTTTTCTTTTGACTAGTAAGGGGATCGCAACCCTCAGCACAGTGTGGTCCGCACCATGCTCAGCCAGTGATCGCACCGGCCATCCCTATGTAGGATCCGAACCTGTGGCCTCTGCGCTACCAGCACTACACTCTCCCGAGTGAGCCACGGGGCTGGCCCCACAGTGGCTCTTTTTAAGCAAAGCAATTAAGGACAAAAGGCTGCATGGAAAATTGCCAGTCACACAGCTTATGAAAAATACAAACAGATTTTAACCATAAAAATACAAGAAGGACTAAATGGCTACAGATTATTCTTTAGCCAGTCTTATACGTAACTAACAATCACTATGTCAAAAATTTTAAGTATGTAGGGTGAAGTGTGCTATTTTTTATTCTGTAGAATGACAGCATACATAACAGACCTTTTAAAGAGGCAAAGGTACCTTATTTATTTTGTTAAGCTTAATATTGAAAGAATAATTAGCATCATTTAAAAAAATCAATCTCATTAAGTATCTGTGTCTTCCTTTCAAGAGTGCTATCTTTCAAAATGCAAAATAATGAGAGAATATTTTAGGATATTATACCCTGATCATCCCTCTTTAAGAGGAAATATTTTTCAAGTAGTAGATGATAAAGGAGAATTTCCTTGTGTGATAGCTCAGAAGCAATATTTTAATTCTTTAATGTTTAGTTCTTTTAATATTTGTGCCACCTTCTTTTCATGTCTTGAAATGATATGTTTAAACTCTTCCTTTGTTACATTGAGCTTAAAAGTCTTGCTATGAATGTTTGCTATGTGCAAGTGTAATCTTTTGCTGAAAAATAACGTTGATAGTTACAGAAAAAAATTGTTCTCATATTTTCTGATTAATGATCTCAACTTATGTGCATGAAAACAAGTCTCAAGCCTTTAAGTGGCACTATTATGAAAAGCTGAACTTATTCCATTTTATTGAGTGCCTTAGATTTTCTTTCCTTTTTTCCCATACAGATGTATTTTTTTCCCTACTAAGTGGGGCAACGTGTGCAACACTTGTGCCTTTTGAAATCTGTTATCTATCTCATGACCGAAAACCTCTTCCTGTAATTTACTAATTGTCATATTATGTCACTAAATATGAGGGTGTGATTTTTTTTTTTCCTTTTTGTCTTTTTTCGTGACCGGCAACGGATCGCAACCCTCGGTGTCGCGCCCGCACCTCACTCAGCCAGTGAGCGGCCGGTCCGTATGTGGGATCCGAACCCTCGGCGGGAGCGCCGCCGCACTCCCAAGCGGCGCACTGTAGCAGTGCACCACCGGGCCGGCCCTGAGGGTGTGATTTTTGTCTGCTTATAATGAGGGTACTTCAAAAAGTTCATGGAAAGATTTCATTATCTTTTAATTCTGTTTTTCCATGAACTTTTTGAAGTACCCTTGTAGAACTTTTCTAAGTGTTCTTACAACAACGAAGCCTAAAAAGTTAGAGGGGTTCTAGACTCCAGCAGTTTTTAAGCCTATCTTTAATGACTCTAATGCAGTGGGTTGCAGTTTGGCTAATCACCTGTGGATGCTATAAACATCCAGATGCCCAAGGAGATTCTGAGCCAGTAGGTGTGAGTGGAGCTTGGCTCTCTGTAGCTTTCAGTAGTCTCTGCAAGTGATTTTTACTTTGTGGCCTAAAGGCTCATAAACCATTCTATTAATCTTTCAAGCATGTTGAGGATTCCTTTTTTTATTTTAAGGAATATATGCAAATATATTGTTTAACTTTAGATGTTCATGTATCCATCAATAAGAACATTTAAACTGAAGTCTGGGAAGAAGTCCATGGTAGTAGAATATTAGAATCAGAAGTTCTGATTTAAAACCTAATATGGCTATCAAGTGGCATCCTGGAAAATTTTAATTTACTTGGCCATTTTTTTTCCCCAAACATCATTCTTAATCTCATCTGTCAAAAATTCAGTAATTATTATGTTTTCCAAACAGTTGTTTCCAGTTCTCAAACTTACACACATCATTTCTTGCCACTTCAGTCAATGTTTCATTCATGTTTCTAGTTTAAATTTGTAAAAATATATGATAATTACAGAGGTCCTGCTGTACAAGCCACCAAGGCAGCTGCTGGTATCAAGAAACATGATCTTAGTAAATGGAAGTATGCAGAACTACGTGATACCATCAATACTTCTTGTGGTAAGTGTGTAGAGAGAATGAAATACAGGAAAGGTCCATAGTGATGTGTAATGAAATAAATACCTAGATTGGGGTGGGATATATATGTATATATTTTGTTGTTGTTATTGTGTACATTAGCTTAAGCCAGTCTCTCTGTTACTCTCCCCTTGAAATGAAGGCCTACTTTATTCACTAAGCTAAAAGAAAGACATGATTATTAAATTAAATGCATTTTGCATATTTCTTGCCTTGGTCAGATAGGAAGAGCAAAGATAAATTATGGTATGGGCTGTGTATTGATGACTGGCCTTTCTAATGTTATTCATAGTAGTTAAATACCTATATGAGCTGAATCTTTTGGTCTGTGAAGGCAAAGTAACAAATCGCAATGCAGTTCTTTCTTTTTAAAGCTATTTTTCTTCCAGCAGACCAATTAGAGTAAAACACTATATCCAGAGGATCCACAGTTATGTTCTTGTTTAAACCACCGTGTTTGAACTCAGGACATTATGACTAGGAACGAAAGCGTCATAATTGTACAGAATTCCTCACTGTTTTTTTCCTCCTCACTGAGTGTTTGTGCATAATTATAGAAAATATGTTGCATGTAAATCTACCTTGTATTTGAGCTCAATGACTTTTTATTTTCCTGACAAGGTCTGTGTCCTTGGACCGGTGACTTTAACCTCTCCAATTTAATTTCTTTATATATGAAAGAAAGACCTTATTAGTTCAGGGTTTTTTGTTTTTTTTTTGTCTTTTGTCTTTTTCCGTGTCCGGCAACGGATCGCAACCCTCAGTGTTGCCCCCGTACCAGACCAGGGACCGGCAACAGGATTGCAACCCTCGGTGTTGCTCCCGCGCCTCGCTCAGCCAGTGAGCGGGAACCGGTCCGTATGTGGGATCCGAACCCTCGGGCGGGAGCGCCGCCGCGCTTCCCAAGCGGCGCACTATCCAGTGCGCCACCGGGCCGGCCCCTAGTTCAGGGTTTTTGAGTAGAGCAAGTCATATATGGTAGCAATGTATAAGAAAGTACACTGTAAATATAAAAGTATTATAAAATGCTCCTCTTTATGAATACTTAGCTTATTTTTTTATTTTGTACTATTAAATATATACAATAAAGTTTTCATTTTTATGACACAAAATAATTGTTAGATGAATAAATTAGGATGTTAATACTTTTCTTTCTTTCTTTCTTTTTTTTGGGGGGGGGCTCTTTTTATACAATCCATAGATATTGAGCTGCTGGCAGCTTGCAGAGAAGAATTTCATAGGAGGCTAAAAGTATATCATGCTTGGAAGTCCAAGAACAAGAAGAGAAATACTGAAACAGAGCAACGTGCTCCAAAGTCTGTTACTGATTATGGTAAAAACAAATCTGTACTTTTGAATGTTACAAAGTAGATGTTTACAGTGTAAATGCATGTAACTATAAATTAGACATTTAGGTAAAATGTTCAGTATAAATTTTCTCTTACTGTAGAACTGTGTTTCGTTGAACCTGGTATAACAATGATAACCCATCTTTTATAGCATTATTTCTATTGAATATGTCTTTAAAGTCATTTGTTAAGATATATTGAATTAACTTGTTAAAATTAATTCTATAGGTAAGAAATTTCTTGTCTGTACTGACGAGGTTGTGCAACACTGTTGTAAATACAGTTTTTCCACATATATATACACACATACATCAAGATCACATGTGAAAATGTGAAGATTACAGTGAACCTTTTACTTGAAATGTGAAATGAGTTTTACGTAGGAAAATGAGTATTTATATACTTGCTAAAAAGGGTAATGTTTAATTTTTGTTTGTAGAATTTTTTCTTATTTTTAAATTTACTGTAGCTCAGTTTTTAGGAGTATTTCTCTGAAATACCCAAATATTGTTATCTTTTTTATATATAGGCTTAAGTACCTTCCTGTTCCTTCCAGAATAGGATTGTTGCCTGGAAAAAGAAATAATTTTTTTTGTGTGTGTTCTCCATTAGCACTCTAATTCCTTTGTTTTAAAAAGAAGAATATTTACTATACACACTGTTTTATAATACTGTGAAAATATAAGAGTATGAGATATTACCTTGGTTGAGACGAAAGTTTTGCCTAGACAGAATTTGATTTTTTGACTGGGATCCTAAAAATGGATTTTGTTTCTTTGTCATACAAAAGGCCAAGTTGTATACTTGAAATTGGAAAATACAGCAGGGTAGATAAAACCTAGTAAAATCATGAACAAGCTCAATACTAACAGAATATCTGTGATATATGAGTTATACTTTAAAGCAATAATTGGAATTTCATTTGTTCAACTTGCTACTTTTAAACTGGCACAATTTATTAGCTTAATTTTGGTTAATGACAAGGTGACAGCAGATTTAATGTTTTTCTTTTTTTTTTCTTTTTCTTTTTTTTAAAGGGGTATATTGACAGCACTTGGGTTAGCCAGTACATGACCCAGGGTGACTTAGAAAATGAGCTCTTGTTTATATTTTGCTTTCCTCACCACCTTCCAAGTAAATAAAAGCAATGTTTGAATACAGTCAATTAAATGGTGGAATTTTAGTGTTTCTAAGTTGTTGAAAAGAGTAGATTGAGTGAGACAATATTGTTATTAATAAAGGAGATGTTAGTGCTAGTGATTGCTCATGGGGTGTTATCAGTCAGAATATAACCCTGCAGAAGGGCAGCGAGAGATCACCTGTAACTAAGAAATGGCAGGTGGAAGCCCCACTAAACGTTGTGACCACCACTCTCTTCTCAAGTTTAGGATTTTTTTTTCTGTGAATTGAAGATGACAGGATGGTTCCATTACCTGTTCACTGCCTGTGTACTAAGTTTCCTACCACTTTTGTTTTATAAAAAATGGCAATGGGCTTTTTTTTTAAAGCTGTTAATGTTCTAACATTAACCTGACAGACTTTCAGTACATTGTATTTCATGATTTATATTTCTGAATGATTGCATTTCTTAAAGCAAAAAGAAATTAATGTTGTAATATCTGGCACACATATTTTAAATGAATATACAAGTATTTCTTGTATTTTAAAACCGAACTTTGATACCTTTCTCATTCAGTTGCCCAAAAAGGTGCAAATAATATGTGGCTCCCCTTGCTGATTCAAGTACTAATTCTGTTCATAGTATATTATTTGGGAGAACGAAAGAGTAGATTAGGAAAATTTCCAAAGTGTCTCATCCAGGTATATGAACAAATTTAGCCTTCAGAGAATCAGATTATGAGCCATTTTCAGGATGAAGTGTAACTTCTGCTCTGAAAAATACTTTCTTCCTTTTCTCTTTATTTTTTTCTCATGTAAAACTTATTCTGAAACAGCAATGTAGCCAAAGGAAAGCCGAAGAGCACCAAGATGCTTAATGGCACAGATGAAAAAATTTTATACTTACATAGTTTCCTAATAGGGTAGCTAAACAACCTTTAAAAGGAGCTGCTGTGTACTCTAATATTTAGAAGGATTAGAATTAATTAGAGAAAAGAAAATGACAACTTGTGATTTAAAAAATGTAACTTGATATGATTGACTTCAAGAGCAGTACATTCACAAATCACGGTAAATTCTTATAAGAGTGAGGGAGGAGCTTGAGAGGACCCTCTTCCTGGTGCTGGACTGGGTGAGCATGCTCTCATCTCATTTACTGCAGAAAGGGATTTTCAGAAATGAGTTTTGGAGCAATTACCCAGTAAATATTTATAATATTTAATTGTTTAAAAAAGTGATTTTGGTTTTATGGTAAATGAAAATGGCATGAGCTTAAGATTTACACTATTTGAAGAAATTAAAACATATTGAGTATATGAAAGAGTAGCGATGCTTTTTTCTACTCTAATGGGTAAATTTTCTGATGAATTTATTAATTCTTTTTTCTATGAAAATTCTAGTGGTGTGTAAAAGGTACTAATAATGTCTGTTAAGTCATTGTGTTAGGCTTGTGTTTGGATATTACTTTGTCCCAAACTACAAATTAAGTATAATTTTTAAATTTTGGTTTTCTTCATATGTGCCTCAAGCAGAATTTCCTAAAACTTAAGGGATTAAAATATCCTTAAAAAAAAAAAAAGAATCAGAAAGCAGCACCTACACGTCGGTAATTCTGACAGTACTCATGTTTGGCTTATGGATAGGATAATTGTTAGTCACCACCTCAATTGATGGGAAGGTTTTATAAATTACAAAAATGCTCATTTAACAGTTTTGGCATTTTTATCTTTTCTTCAACCTAAAATATTTGTTCACAGATTTTGCACCATTTTTGAACAATTCACGTAAGTCAATGGGTGGTAACTCATGAGCTAACTGGAAGATGGGTTAAAATACTTTATCAAGTACTAACTTCTATTGAACATTGTTTTGCTACAATTTTAAATGGAATTGTAGTATGTTAAAGTTGCTATATCTATATTAATGTATATTTTAATTTGAGATGATGCTTTTATTTGGATCATTCTAAAACATATGCAGAACAAAATCTATTGTTTTATCAAATTACTTTCATTTAAAAAATAACTAGCATTTTAAACTGAGTATACACAATTCTTATTGTAGCAAAACTATCTTAATGTAGTAGCTGATCTTTTAGAATAAAGACTAACTTTTAGGTGCTGGTTTCAAATCGCGTATTTTCAAACACTGTGATGGTATCTGTATTTCTGTCCAAAGAGATTGGAGTTTCATATGATAGTATGCATAGGTTTAATAATGATACCTCCTAATGGGAAGAAGAGATTATTGTTTTTTTTTTCTTTTATATAGCTTCCTATGATGCACATTATATGATAGTTTAAAATCTTTGTGGGTCACCTTAGTGTGCTCTAAGTTTCTTCTAGAATCAGTTGAGTAATAATGATTTGGATATAATGCCATATTTATTTGCCAACTGGTTGGGCCTGATTTTTTTTTAACTGTTTCTCAGGATTTATAGGGCTAAAATTGAAACATATGTCATACTTTTGAAGATAACACAATTGGATGTGAAAGAAACCTAGTTGTTTAGATTCGTTTCAAGCTTTTAATGTATCTTTGTACTTTTCCAGATATTAGTTTCCAGCCTTCCCCCCAACAAAATTTCAGTTCTCCCATTAGTAGAAAAGCTATAAAAGACTGTGTGTTGGGTTTCTTAATTTTATAAGTTACAGGAGACTGTTATTTTAAAAGTAAAAAGTAGGTATTTAATGGATGACTATCTGTATCATAGTAAATTTCCTATCAAGTAGACATTAAATTCTAATTCAGTAATATGGAGGGAGGTTTTTTTTTTAATCCTTTAAAAATGTTTTAGTTTTGAGTTAGTATATTTTCCACAAAATAGGCAATTTTTAAAACTTAAAATGGAAACATTGAATTGTAACTAGCTTTTGGGGAACAGGAACAAAAGAATAAATAAACACATCTCTGTTAATATGCTTAAAGGTGGTGCAGCTTCACTAACAAAACTGGGCCTCTCTCTCTCTCTCCTAGGCATATATAGCTTTGCTAACTGCCTTTTGCTTTCTCTGGTTTACAAAGAAATAAATTCAACTGCTATAAAGCTTTTGATATTTCTTGGTGTAAAAAGTAGAATAAGAATATTTTCATCCTTTTAGTATTTTCAAATTCTTATAAAAGCCACGTAGCTGTTCATGACTTTTATATCATATATATATATTATATAAGTTTTCACTGACATACTTCGATTTTCATAGTGAGATTATTAATTGAGCTGCAGTAAATGGTTGGTCCACTTTTAAAGTTGTGAGTATAAAGCATATTAAACAGACTTACCTAAATTATGCTGCTAAAGATGTAAAGTCATTGCCCCAGGGAAATGTTTACATTTGCAGGTGAAATAAAAACCTAATTGTTCAGTAATGAAAATTGAGCAAGGGAAAAAAGGTTGATATGAGTGCAATGCCCCGTTCTAGCAGAAAAGCAGGATTTTTCTTTTCTGTTGGCAAGGAGAACCAAATGTTATACATTTTCCACTTATTTCAGTGGATTTTATTCCAAGAGAAATCCGATTTCAGAGTAAGTAAATATCTTTGAGGGAAAGTTCATGCTTACTGATATAGGTTTTTGGTGTTTTTTTGTCATGAGGTTGTTTAGATATTATTAATATTTGTGTTATCTTGGCCATTTTAAATCCCAAAATCAGTTGGCAAAAGAGAAAAATTTTCTATGGCTTCCACTTTTTAGTGGAAATTGTAATTAAACTGACAAATGTCTATATCCTTCAGATTTTTGAAGTTACTGTTTATTTTATTGTAAATAGTCCAATAAAACTTATTCTGCAGTGTTCATTTGAACTCTTGGAGGACAAATATAAACCTAATAAATAACACTAGTTTCCTTTCCTGCCATATGAGTTTATTTTAGGTTACTGATACAGTAATTTGTGGGAAGCTGCTAGGGGTTTGTTGTTGTCATTGTTGTTGAGGTGTGTGTGTCTGTATTGCATTTGCAATGCCAAGGAACATCTTTAGGGAAAGACAGTTATAAGAAATCACACTCTGAATTGTATTTATTTGTAGGCAATTAATATTTACATTTTGTTTTAAATTTACTATCAGAAACCTCTCTTTTTAAAAAAATTGTTCGTGCATTTTCGAATTAATGGCTGTTTTCTTTTCCCTAGAGCTGCTGATGTAACTTTTCTTGTTCTGTGTAATAGCCCAGCAGAACCCAGCAGCTCAGCTTCCTGCCAGGCAGCAGGAGATCGAAATGAATCGACAGCAGCGCTTCTTTCGTATCCCATTCATCCGCCCTGCTGACCAGTACAAAGACCCTCAGAATAAGAAAAAAGGCTGGTGGTATGCCCATTTTGATGGACCGTGGATTGCCCGGCAAATGGAACTCCATCCTGACAAACCACCCATCCTTCTTGTGGCTGGTGTGTATGACTCACATGAAAAAAAATTTATAAAACCAAAAAAATTATAAGCCCTCTGAATGAGACATTCTAATATATAGTGTAACAATTCCACAAATTTCAGCACTGAAGGATAGAGTTTTGTGGTTAATCACATTTCCAGTTCATTGAAAATTAACTGATTTATGATGTGAAGTTGCTTGGATTCATTATGTCCTTGTAGAGCACAGAGAAACTTATCTTTGTCCTAAGAATCTTTTCATTGATGTTTAATTATATCCACTGATTTGTAATGGCTTGAGGAAATGTAGCATTTTTATTAACCCTGATAACATGTTTGGTCAACTGCAGTGTTTATAAATTTGAAAGGTCCTTGGTGGGGGACAAATTTGTTTCTGGTGAATTTATTAAGCAGATTTCCATCTTAGAGGGAGAAAATAAAGTCTTAAAAAGTTGCCAAATCTATGAGAATTGATATGTATTTCAGGAATAAAGTTGATAAGAAATGATTCTGAGGAGAGATATGGTAATTTTCTGACATCTCGTGTATACAGGTAAGGACGATATGGAGATGTGCGAGCTGAATCTCGAGGAGACTGGTCTGACTCGAAAGCGAGGTGCTGAGATCTTGCCAAGACAGTTTGAAGAAATCTGGGAACGCTGTGGAGGCATCCAGTACCTTCAGAATGCGATTGAGAGCAGACAGGCTCGGCCCACATACGCAACAGCCATGCTGCAGAATCTGTTAAAGTAGATGTTGTACACCAGCCTTATAACTGGGGGCCCTTGCCATGGTATAGGTAGGGTGTCTGCCCCAAAGATTTAACCATTCCATGATCATGTTAGAGTTACTTCTACAAAGTGAACAGATTTTATTAATTATGACTTTTTTGTGAATTTGTTTAAGGTTAATTATGGTAGTAAATTTGGGGCCAGAAATTATTTTCTTATATCCAGCTGTAATTCTTGAAACTCATTATTCTAATACTTGTTACACTTGGACAGATTCTGACATTTCTCATTCTTTGCCAACAGACTACCTTATGTCCATCATAATTGTTCTCTAGGAAAAGAGAATTTTTAAAGTAATTCAAAATACTTGATTTTTAAGAATGGCACAGTACCATATAACTGGAGTAATGAAACCTTAGCTTCAATTTCTTACAAGATATAAGGCATTTAAAATGGTCAAGGCACTGATGTTTTGGTCTGAAAAGCTATGTACTTTCTTTAATTAAGAAATTCATGGAAATTTCTATCAAAGGCAGAAATTCTGATTTTTTTCTTCCATTGCAGTGTGTCTTTGAGTGAAACAGTTCTCCCTAAGTTCCAAAATTCTAGGAAGCCTTAATGTATTTGATGTATTTTGTGATAAAGAAGGTACTAATGGTTTCCAGCACAGATTTTTCTTTTCTATCACTTGTGTGTTGCTGTCAGGATATTTTTATATTTCATGAATAAATAAAGGAAATTCAGATTGTTTAAATGCCTAGAAGTTTTGAGATAAGTTTTGTTTCATTTAGAAAAGGAAATAGGTTTTAAGTGGTACTATGGCTTAACTGGACTGAATTCAAGTATTCTTTAACTTCATCTCAATTACAATTTTTATATCAGAATCTTGTCCAAGTTGTTTCATGTGATTTAAGTTGGTGTTCTGCTTGAAACATCTTTCTTTTTAATAAAATTCCTAGTGTGTTGGCCTTTGAGATTTTGGTAATAGTAGAGCTGTTTTATAAGCTTTGTAATTCAAAAGCCCTTGTATTTAGTTATTGTTTGTTTCACATAACTGATAATTAAAAAGAAAGATTTCTTTGTGTGCTGTTAGTTTTGATCAAATGTCATAAGTTTCAAATCTAATATTTATGACTTTTATATTAGGAATTTAAAGACAAAAATACATCAAAGAATTATGTTGACATAATCTTTGTTTTCTTTGGCAGTTGGCCGGTATGGGGATCCAAACCCTTGACCCTGGTGCTTGGTGTTACCAGCACTGGCTCTAACCAAGTGAGCTAACCGGCCAGTCCTGACATAATCCTAAGGAGTTTTGTTTATCTTTTAGAATAATATTAGAAAGTAAAATTGTTCTCTACACCTTTTTTATTTTTCCAGCTTTTAAGGACTCTAACCTTTGAAATGAAATTTAATGATCTTTTTTTTTTTCCTAGAAAGAATACCTCAGTTAGGAAAATATTTCCCAGCTGATTAGTGTTTGTGAGCCACAGACACTGTTTTTAGAATTGCTTCTCTCATAATATGTGTCTTATTACATAAATATTTATTTATTATGATACCGTGCAAATGATTGTCTTGTGTTAAAGAAATTAAATGGTCCTGCATGTGCTATTAATTGAGAATGTGAATGTGATTATCTTTTGAAGGCTGTATTTCTGCACAGGCTCACCCACCTTGGGTCATCTGGTCCCTGTAATTGGTGACAAAAGGTGTAGTTTCTGAAATAAATGACCTGTTCTCTCTCATTTCTCGCATTTAATTGATGTTTTTATTTGTGTAGGATAATGAACGATAAGCTTTGTATCCTAACCAGTAACAAGCAAAGTCCTTGAAGAAAATTTAGTAACCAAAATGATTTTTAATGGCTTGTCCCTTTAGTAGTATTCACAGAAATAGTTTTATGTGTCTCCTGGATAAATTAATAGGCACTGGATGGAAAATTAATCAAAAAGGTTAAGATTATTATACTGAGGAGACTTAACATTTTGAAGAATTTGTCATAATTATAGCAAAGCATTATTACAAGTCTTTAGTTTTTAGTCCAACGGTTAATAAAATAATAATCTTAGGCCATTTTATTTCTAATTATGTCACATAGCTGTCCTAGAACTTATCTATTTAAATAGTCTCCTGAGTTAATTTTGGCTTCCAGGGGAACTGCCCTAATTCAGATAGACTTAGAGTAACCTATATACAATGGATGCATATGCACACAGAAGCCCCTTGGCTGGTGAGACTTAGGACCCTGTCAGCCTTTTAAGGGAAATAACAGAAATGGTTTTCTAAAAGATGTTGATACAGCTACTTTACCATCAAATGCATAAATGCTAGGTGAAAACTAGTAGAAATCAAAATAAATTAACTCATATTTTAATCAGTCATTTTAATTGAGATTTAAAATGAGAAGTTTAAACCAGTGTACTGTATATAAAGAACTAATTTTCTCTTAATGCTTGTCTCACTCAATACTATTCCTTCCATAGTGTATGCTTTGCAAAGGTAGGCACACAGAAAATATTAAAAGTGAGAGGGCAAAGTGTTTTCACATTCATTTATATAGTTCCTAATTTTACTAATACATGTATTGTGAGATATGTATTACGAGTGAGGGGTATTTACTGAGAAGAGGAAGTTTCTCTAATTCACATATATTAAAAGAACACTAAGTTTTCTTTTCTTCTTTTCTTTTTTTTTCCCCCTTTTTGTCTTTTTTCGTGACCGGCAACGGATTGCAACCCTCAGTGTTGCGCCCGTACCGGACCGGGACCAGCCACGGGATCGCAACCCTCGGTGTTGCCCCCGCACCTCGCTCAGCCAGTGAGCGGCCGGTCTGTATGTGGGATCCGAACCCTCGGCGGGAGCGCCGCCGTGCTTCCCAAGTGGCGCGCTGCAGCAGTGCGCCACCGGGCCGGCCCTACAGTGACTTTTTATGTCATTTTTTTTCCTAGTAAAATAGTGAACCCTTTTGTAAGCAAATAAGAAAAGATCTTCTTAAGTAGAAAGTAGGTGGAACGTAGTTGTGGAAGATTAGAGAATATAAACCCACAGTCAAGAACAGTAGTTAGTATTTATTGTTTGTAGAGCTTTATTAATTGACTATTTTTAAAAGATATTTTCATTCACAGGTTATTACTATCGTTATCAGGGGATTGAGATATGTAGATCTTTGGTTTCTTTACCTGAAGTAGCTTAAGAGTACTTGGATCAGCAAAATATTTGAATTAACCAGTCAGTCAATTAATATGATACTAGTGATAGACCTACCTCCTTTTATGGAAGAGGTAACAGATCCAGAGAGGTCAAGTAATTTAGTTCTGAACTGTGAAAAAGATATAAATGCCTTTGCTTCAATCATGTGTCGCAAAAAGAATCAAACATCTTTAGTACCCCCTTGAGGATTTACAAAGAGCTGCTCTTCTGTCATTCCACATCTTCAGAACGTGTGACAGGTCTTCTCTGTCTATCGTTACCAGCAATAACAAGTATTGAGAGTTTTAATTTCTCTAGGAAAGTAAACTGACAAGGGGGAGGGGAGGGATGAGGATATATGAAAATTAGAATAAAGGCAAGTTGGCGGGAACAGCCATAACAAGAAGAGAGAAGAGCAGTAATAGAAGAGACAGAAAGGTGCTTTGTCCCTGAAGACTACACTCTCAGGTTGGAAAACACTGATACATTTAGGCCACAAAGCAGTCCTCGATCTTTGCTGAGTTTTAGGGTGAATTATGTGTAACATAAGAGCAGAACCTATGGTTGTTAAAACTTGGATCAAGATACACTTGGTATATAAATTCTTAGCATATAGGAGTGGCGCTGCCACACTGGAGAAGCCCAGCAATCAGTAGACATTCTTTACATAAACCTATGGAAGGGTAAAATGGAGATACTTTCAGAAGCAGAGCCTGCCTGCGCCAGGACCACATCCTTGAACACAGTTAAGTCCAATTCAAATCAATATATTCTTTCCCCATCACTAATCTAATACATGAATTAAGTTGGGTTGTCTCAGAAGTTTTTCAAGAGCTAATCAGGAAAAATTAATGCACATGCAAAAGGAGAATCTTTAATCCTAATTTGTACCAATGCAGAATCTGACCTTCAAACCACAAGTAGGCTTATTAATTGTCCATTTTCTTTTCAATTCTGCAAATTCATCTAGTTGCAACTGTTACTTAGTTTTTCCTCATTTCAATAAAAATGTATGTCTAATCCTAAAATACTGATGTACTGGAGATACAAATAATAAATGCTTTCTATGTAGAACTTCCTCTTGTATATTGTGCTTGTAATACAAACTATTGTAAACAAAGTTGTAGATATTGTACTTGTTGGTAATGTCTCAGACGGAATAAGTTGGAGAAGTCTGGGATCCTGAAGCTTCATTCCTTCACCCAGGCTGGAAACCCTGTGCTACGCGGCTGTAGGGAGAGCAAGAAACTGAAGGTGATTGAAACTTCCTTGAGCTTTGGCCCCAAACTCCTATGTGACTTCCATCCAGGGAACAGGAGGACTGTGTGTGAGCTGCTGCTACTCATTTTGTCTAGATAAGAGGCAAACCAGATCTTGACTGCCTTTCCCCAGACCCTTACTAATCTGTTTATGAGAAGACCCAGAATGTTGACACTGGGGACCGAAAGAAGAGTCCTTCTCCCTAAGGCTTCAAATATAGCTGGTCTATATAGCCTACACCATGCTCCCCTGTCTAAAACCTACTGTGATCCTCATGGGTCTTCTGAGAGTGTAGGGAGACTGGTCAGCTCTTCTCTGGTTAGTTGGAAAAGAGCAATTCAAAAGATGGGTGATTCAAAGAGTGAGAGGCACTTACCACCAAAGGGGTCCCCTTCCCACAGAATATAGCATATGTACCTACTTCTCTTTCCCACAGAATATAGCATGTACCTACTTCTCTTTCCCCATCAAAAACTATATTCCCCACACTAGTTACAGCACAATTGAAATGAAGGGGGTGGGGAGAACTTCATGGGGAGAAAATAGTGGTATATCATTTTGTCTCATGATGTAATTTTTTCATGTGCTATTTAGTTCGTCTGTTATGCTTCTAACAAGTTTGTTTTTGTCTGGGAAGTTCCAGGGTACAGAACTAGGTAGCCACCACTCTTTGCTGTGTGGCACCTTCTTGCCATATTCCAATTTGAAGTCCATGTCCCATATTATATAGATCATCAATTTTGGGGGAGGATTTGGGTGGGAATGGGGATGAAAGCTATACATTTGTGGGACCAATAGGACTGAGTTTTCAAAGGTTTGTAACCTCCCCCATGGGGGGGACACAATTTCCCAAAAGATTGTTTCCATTATTAGGAAACATTTTGTCTTCATTTTTGAAGCTTACTATTAAATGTTGCTATCAGTATTTACCATTTTGCTGTCTTTTGGCAACATTAAAATATTTGTTTAAAATCATTTATCATTTATTGAATCCATAAAGCAAATCCAGGGAATATCTAGTAAAACACAGACTCATTATAAATCTATGGATATAGGGCTTATCATATTTTATTGAAATTAAGGTTTTACCACAAATATATTTGATAATGGAACACTTAAAAGAGATACAGAGGGATTCAGTTTTCGTTAATAAGCTCATTAAAAACTGACTGAACTGGATTATGTTGATGCCAATCTGGTATACACACACCACAGTTAGTGTGAGGAAGTATTTGATGAAGTTATCATAGGATGACATTTTCTCACCTGTGGTGGAAGACAGGAATCGGTCATGTCACATGACACAGCCTTACCTACTCCCCCCCAATATAATGTCTTCCTTTAAAATTAGCTTTTTCATGATATGCACTGTATATCTGAACCTCAGTTCCTCTTTTAAAAAATAATTCAAAACTTATTGGCAACAAAACAATCTGTGTAAGCAGTAATTGCTTTTATAAAACTAGTGTGCCTAAAAATCGAAGACTGAAGGGTGTGTGTATGGGTGTGTGTGGATGTGTATTACAGATATGGTGTGCAGCATATATAGACTCACCATATGTAGTGCTGGCATACTATGTACGTTCATGCATTTAGAGAGACATGCATCTCCTTGCATAAATAATCATCTTTTAAATGTACATTCTAACATATAAAGAATTGCTTCCTGATATATTGTGCAACCCCCAAAACAATAAGTTGCACTTGTTGCAAATGATCTGTAAGTAATATTTTAAGGGCAGCTGGAAGCAAACCTGGTTTACTATCACCTTGACTATCATCCAAGAATAGTCAAAATGCATTTTACTGATTGTCTTGGGTTTTGATAATGTGTCCTTTTCTTTAGAATTTACCAGTACATGGCTCATCTATACTGGAAACATGGTGTGTGCTGATTTCTCAATGGTGACTATATCTAGGCCTGCTGCTGTTCTTAGAATGTCGACCAAGTATATCTCAGTTTTCCTTGAGAAAGCAAATCATCTCTTGAGATAGCTTAGATGGTAATTGGTACAATTTTTAGTTTTTAATTTCCTTCCCAGTCTTGATGGTTAAATTCTTCATATCCTACAGTCAGTAATTCAGAATTTCTTTTCCTGGTCACCTGGAAGAGAAATAGTTTTAAGAACTTAAGAAAGGTCACCCAAAATGAAACCAATAGTTTATCCCAATGTTACCTCCTCTGGTGGATGAGAAGGATATGCTTGCCATGTAGGATATCTTCTTTGAAAGGTTGGAGATGCCCTGAAATATTCTTAATAACCTACTAGGAATGTATTCCCTTTCTTCTTAAACC